ACTCTTATCATAAAACATTCACTTATATTTTATTTTCTAATTAAATCTTCCCGTTGGTTCCAATTTAATCAGAAAATTAGTAAACTAACAAAAAAACAGTCCTAAATCATTCACATAGCCTAGCATAGCAGCCCGTTGGCATGCAGTCGAGTGATCTCATCGGTTAAAAATAAAACATAAAGATGCTTCTGCATCAATTCTACATCACCGTTGGACAGAAAATAGAATTAATGCATAAAACTCATAAATTAACTGGGAAGACATATAACTACTCTTCAAAATTAAATTCTTCCGTTGGTTCGAATTTAATTAAAAGATAATCAACATCATTGCAGCGGAAGCTTGATAATAAAATACATTCTATTAGTTTAGAACCATTTCTTGGTCCTTATCCATCCTCTGAAAAATTGACCATGTTGGTGTAAAATTTATGAGAGATTTAAACCTCAAACTTAAACTCATTATAATATTATCATTATCAACGTTGGTCAGAAAATGACAATACCATAATCTGACTTAAATAAAATTGAACTACTCCTCCTATTTAAGTTAGAGGATAAACATAATCATAATTTACTGAACCAAAATCAACTGCTCTCAAATTAAATTCTCCCATTGGTTCGAATTTAATTAGAAGATAACAAACATTAAACTTTACAGTGGAAACATGAAAAATTGTTTATCTACTTTTCAGAAGCATCTCATTGTACTCATCTACTCTCTGAACAATTTATCCCGTTGGTTCAAAATTGAATAGAGATGAAAAACTAATCAAAATTCGCTTCTAAAAATGAATAAACAAATTTATAACCTTTACTGTGCATTCGGCCCGACCCATCAGGTGCTCATGCATAGCCCATAATCGTGGCGGTCTGCGCCCAAGACCCCGCTTGCCTCACTCACTCACGGGCTCTGCTTTGCCACCATGCAGCACGCCTGCGCTCCTCCCAGCGCCTAGGCCGCAACTCAGGGCTGGGTCGAGAATCACACTACCCACACAGGTGAAAGCAGCCCGAGCAACCCCGCCGTCGGATCGCATCGGATGGTTCTCCGCGCGTGTCACTCGAATAAAACCGCGCCATGGCTACTCTCCCGAAAACCCTAATTTCATTTTCACCTCATCGTTCTCTCTCTATGCCGCGGTTTGGGGTGAGAAGAGTAGCCCAGCGCCGCCGCCAGTCCCCTCGCCGGCACGCGTGCTCGCCCTAGGCTGAGTGTGCCGCCGTCGAGTGGTCTAGGTGACGGTGCCCCATTCCCCACATGCGCTGCGGTGGGCTCGCCCTAAACCCTAGGTCTTCCCCTTTCTCCTCAGTGCAACCGACATTGGAGACGAAGAGTGCGGCGCCGCCGCGGGTCCCCTCGCCGAAGCGCGCATTCCCTAGGGGTGAGCGTGCTGCCATCGAGCGGTCCTATGTCGGCATCCTGAGCCCGTGAGTCACCAACCAAGCGTCGAGCGGCGGCTTAGCCCATTCTACCCGCGCGACGACGGTGGTGATGCTTGTGGGGGGGGAGTCCGGGTAGGTTCTTCCTTCCTTCGTCCTTACTCTAGGGTTAGGGTTAGGGTTAGGGTTTTGGATTGGGGTCGATCCGCTTGGCAAATCGAGTCCCCTCCTTCTATTTTCTTATTCTGATGTACTCCAAGAGCAAGATCTACGCCTAGTAACCTGGCTTTGATACCATTGATAGAAAATAGGACCTCTAGGATCGTAGATCAGGGGATAAAAAACTTGACTTAGATGGGAGACTTGGTGATGTACCTCGCCATGCGTAGTCATGGCCACGGCGCCACCTCAACATGGCCACTGGAGTCGTAGTAAGGGAAGCCGTGTAGGCGCCCGCTTGGTCATCGAACGCAGCAGTAGTGCAGGTGCGGTGCTGTGGCAGCGGTGAAGGTGATGGGCTTCCCATCGCTCACAGCGCCCATCTGGATCGGTCTAGGGTTAGGAACTTCGGGGTGGGGCTGGCGGCCACCGGTGACCTCATGTCTTGTGCCCTAGCCCCCTCTGTCCTTTTATGGTGCTGCATGATGGGGGACCATCAGCCAGGAGAACCGGCTAAGCGCCCCTGATCAGGACGTGGATCAAACGGCCTAATTGGCCGTTGAACCAACTAGTGGAGATCATCCTAACAGTAGCCAGCGGAGTGTCGTGCCTCACCGCTTGCTCCACTGGGATCTCAGGACCGCCTTGGCCAGCTCTGCCACTCACCATCTCTGCCACTTGGGTCTCTTCATGACTGCCAAGCGGCGAGAGGTCCTCTCCGACCACTGTCGTCCCACCTTAACCACCAGATGGAGCCTCTGGGGTCAGCTGTGGGGCCACAATCACTTTGGAATTTTCCTCGACGATAGTAGCGTCTTCCTGGGATGGTGGTCTTCTTCTTGAATCAGGTAACTTCATTCTTTTATGGGAGGTGGAGAGGATGAACATGGTGTCCTGCACCTCCACACCACTGGGAAGGCTCTAGTGACACCTCAAAAGATAACTCTGTGTCGGAAGAGTTATAGATACTGCAAATTGAAATCAAGGAACAACTGAATGCTGAAATACCTCTCTCCTGTGCAGTCTCCTCTTGCCGTGTAGCTCCCGTTGGCTCCGTTGCCTCAGAGCTCATCCTAGGTTGAGAAGTAGAAGTACCATCCAGCTCTCCGCTTGGTAACGACGGGTTGCTGAGTCCGAGTTGTCGGGCTGACTTCTTTGGCACCGCCCTCCATTTCTTTGGAACAAAGTTGGTGAATTCTTCTTCAAAGCCCGGGCTCTAGGCTAGCTTGTTGGCACTGCCTATGCCATCTTCTTCTTCAGCGCTATCGACCGCTGCATCCGACACTCTTGTTGATGATTCACCTCTAAGTATGGACCAGTCAACGCCTACAGAACCTTGGCCTGATGATGGGTCCATTACCTCACCGGGTTGTGGCAGCTCAGGCAGATCCATGAAATTGCGGCCGAGTTCCTACCCACAAAGTTGATGTGGGGGGTGCGACCCCGATACCCACGGCAAACTACATGGGCCGCGCTCCCAGGGGCGGTCCAGCCCACAAGACGAAGCCTTGTGGAGTACGGCGCTGCTCGACATGCCCCGCAAGACACCGGAAAGATATCCTGAAGATACTACGAGATTTGTTAGGATACGATCGATCCCACGATTCCTGCAATCTGTTATTACTTTTCGGTTATCTCCTAGATCTAACCGACTTGTAACTCTACCCCCAGACTATATAAGGCGGACATGGACCCCCTCCAAACACATGCAATATCATACGAAGCCAATACAATCCAACAGACTATAGGGGTAGGGTATTACGTCACGCTGACGGCCCGAACCTGTCTAACTCTTGTGTCTCTGTTGCCTTCTTGTTCTTAATTGCGCGCACCTCTGCTGATCAATCTACCTTCGTGGGATACCCCTCGAAGGACTGCCGATGATATTCTGTCGATAGTTGGCGTGCCAGGTAGGGGTGTGCATGCTATTTCCATATCGAACAAGACGGTATATTTTGCAGGCTCTTTGTCCCTCCCACAGCCCAGCCAGATCTTCACGGTCGGATCAATCTCCTAGGTCATCAACGCTGACGGAGACGGAGAGCTCATCGAACCAGTGCAGATTGATTCTGCGCCGATCACCCCAACACCTGTGACTGCAAATCCGATCTCAGAACCGCCTCCGAGGTCGTCTTCGCCAACAATTCGCCGCCCGCTCCCCCGCTACCCAAGAAGGAGGATCAACAACGACGATCTGATCGCATCCATCGATCAGGTTGGCCAGAAGCTCACCAATTGCCTCTATATCGTAGGATCGGCTCTGACCACTCTGGTTCAGCACTGACCACCCTCCGATTCAGATCTGTCGGAGGCTGATCAGGAAACTCCAGTGGCTACGGCCTTACCCTTTGGGCTCACCAGCGTCGCCGCCACCTATCAAGATGCCCTAAGGGTCAAATTCGCCAACCAGGCAGGAGACATCTATCCTCTCGCCGACAAGATCGCCGACCAGCTCCTGCCGACTGTCAACATGCTGCACATCAGCTGACGCCCCAAAGCATCCCTCTAGACCATCCTGGAGGAAAACCCAGACTCCGAGTCCTAGGGCTCTACAGAGACTGTCGCCGAAACCACCGCCGTTCAACCTCCTTTCCCACCCTTCCTCGGAGGTGCCATTTTTAACGTCAACGTTGACAGCACATCTACGAGTTGGAGCGGAGAAGTTGTGAAAAGTGGTTCTCCAATAGAAGAAAGTAAAATTAGCATGTATCAAGATGATGAATTTGATCTTTGTAATGAGCAAACTAGTTTGCGACTTTATGTATTATGTATATTTATATGTACATAAACTGGTAATGGGAAATTCCGCTATCAGATCATTTGTTTTTAGGATTACAGATGAAAACCATATATTGGTTTTTATGTTTTGATCGGTGACGACTTGTTTGAGTTATTTCCAATTTTCCTGGACCTTTTCTTTTGATTTTAACTTAATCGTCTGTCTCATTTAATTTTCTAGCAGGTTTAAACTCTATAGGCTTTAGTTTTGATTTTTTATAAGGGTTTTGAATTTTTATTTTTTTAGTTCATTCTCCGTGACACACTGTACACATTTGTAAGGGCTCAAAGCAAATATTAGATGTGGCAGAGTGATAAACCATATATATGTGTGTAAGCAAACATCAGAAGTGGTGGAGTGACAAACCACGTGTGTATACGATGCGCTGGGATCAGCAGGTATCACTTCCTCACGTGGTTGTAATACTGACGTGGATTGGGTGAGTGGGCGGGATTAACCCAACCCACGTGTGGAGCAGCTTACACGTGTGAAGCATACACGATTAGCCAAACGAAGCCTTAGCCTCTAATCCGTGGGGATTGAGGGGGATTCAGATTTTAGACTACAATCATTGATACGAATGTTTCTGAACTTGTATACACCATTAATCTACATTCGCTTCCAATCACATTCTTTCTGCGGATCATTTGCACTTGTCAAAACACAAATGCTACAGAAATTCAGGAAGCACTGTCCTTTTCTTGGCCCAAAGTACTCGATACTAGCTTGAGAAGATCATTGACACGCGACACACGCTCTTCCTTTTCTTTAATGAGCTGAGCAGCCTCCTCTTTGTGGCGGTTCACCTCGGCGCATTTCTGGACCAAGGCCCCCAGGGTTGACTCGTTCTGCTTACTCAGCTCCTCGATCTTCTGCTTCTGGCCTGCGAATGAAAATTGAAAATAAACATATTAAGCCTAGCCTAAGGGAAAACTGAACTTCAAAGACAAGACACGGTTTAACTACCTTTATTCTCATCTTTCAGCTTTATATTTTCTTCTACTATTTTGAATGCCTCTTGCTCGGCTTCTGACATCCTTTCTGTTAAGAGCCTTCTGGCATCTTTGAGGTCTAACATAAAAAAGGAATTTTAATGCATTATGATGACTAACGACCCATCTTACAGATAGCATAGTATGAAATTTGATCTTACCTTTCACAATGCACATATCAAGTCTAGCCTAAGGGAAAACTAAACTTATAAGACAAGACACGATTTAACTACCTTTGTTCTCATCTTTCAGCTTTATATTTTCTTCTTTTATTTTGATTGTCTCCTGCTCGGCTTTCTTCATCAAGACCCTTTTGCTGTCTTCGAGGTCTAATATGAAAAAGGAATATAATGCATTATGATGACTAACGACCTATCTTACAGAGAGCATAGTATGAAATTTAATCTTACCTTTCACTTGTTGTTCCAGCATTATCTGCCTATCCTTCAGGCGTCTATTCTCCATGACCAGCTTCTTTGCTTGTTCTAAAAGCTCAGAGGAGGCTGCCTCACTGAATGACACATACTACAGGAAAGGGAACATATGAAGAACTGATACTGGGATGTTAAATATCCAACATAATATCAAGTGCCTTGCAAGAAAATATCAGATCAAGTGTTGACCAATACATAAAGTTCCTGGCGCACCAGCTATACCCAAGATTGATCTCGCCACTAAAATTCATCACTTTTGAGTATCCTTAAAACATTGCGAGAACAAAAAAATTGTACAAGAGCAATATCACTTTTGATTCTCCTTAATGAGATGGTTGTAGTTGGAGTCTGCAGCTCTTAGTTAACAAAAACTATACAGCAATGTTCAATGCTACTATCTATGTGCAGTGCAAACTGAGGATGACCCTAGAGTGTTATTCTGAATGGATAAATTGATGAATAGTCAGGCTCGTAGTATAAGTTGCACAAACTTAGAATGATTCAGCAGGCAAAACTAAACAAAAATCAGGTTGCACCTAAGAAGTGTATGGTCAGTTGAAGATATCTGAATCTGGAACTGCAATGCAATTACAGCACGGATAGGATTGCTTTATCTTGAAATGGAATTCAATCCAAACTTATTCAGCTAGCTCAACTTATTAAGCCTTCTTCCCACCTAGGATTGCAAGAGAAGAATTTCCTTTGTGCCAAAATGTTTTGGAAGAGTTGAACACCTTTACAATGTGAATTATTTGTACATATTGCAGAAAAAAGAATTGGGCAATAAACAGGCCGGTGCAGAGGTATCAGTCTCAGGGATAGTAAATGAGTTTTATTTATGTGTGATGGGTTTTGTTGTGTTTATGTGTAAATCAGGAAGAAAATTAAACCATGATTCATTCAGCATCTGGGAACTTGAAAACTGGTGGGTAGACAGGTGAAATTAATTAGCAAGTATCTCAGAGCATGGTGTTGATTTGCTAGAGCCTAAGGATCTGAGAGCGTAGTCGTGTGAAGAAGGTGAACGGCGCTTCCACGATTGGCGATGAACAGGCGCCATCAGAACTGAAGAAGAAGCTAGCGCTATGCGTAGGGGCAACAATAGTTGTTGTCCATCTTAAGTTCCAACTGATACAATAGCTTTTCTTGAGTCTAATCTAAGGAGACCCCCTAATCCTTGCGGCGTGTTTCGGCAGTTGTCAAAGTCATGCGTGAGGCCACGATCAGGACCGTTGTGCGCCTCACGCTCCTCCCTTGTTCTTCCACCTACTGTACCCCACACCGGTCATAACATGAATATATAATTGTCTTAGTCTTTTGGGAAGTCCAGAAAGCAAGAAATATCCGGGTTTTCACAGCATCTGGTAGCAGGCAATAAAGGTGGACAAGCAATCGGTGGAGCGTAGACAGAGCAGTTGTAGATGGCAGATTATTTTTGTAGCGTGACTCTTTCAACTATTTATTGGTTAGATTTAGTTGGTAGTCCTTTTTTTCTTGTAAAATTTTGTGACCTATCAAGATTTCTTTGCACCAATTTTATAGTGGACCTTCAAGCAAAATTCCTGAATGGATGAAACTTCTATTTTTTAAAAGGAATCACTAGGAAGCCTTTTGAGTTTCCAGAAATAAGGGGCATATGAAAGAAGAGACAGTTAGCACTTACTTCACTCTGAACTTTCTGCATCCGCTCCCATGTCACCTCACTGTTTATTTCCTCCCTATTATGCACTGGAATGGGAGCTGATACCTCAATGGCCTCCTGGTCTCTGACTATCTCAGAGATAGATTGTGCAGGATCAACCTCCTTGCGAGAAAAATCTCTAACAGGTTGATTAAGGAGTACATTCAACATGGAGTCCTCAACAACCTTAGGCCGTGAATCAACAACATTGGCAAAGCATGAACAGTGCACCGTCCCCTGCCTCTTCTGCTAAAGAGGCAGGAGGGCATCGAACCAATCCTAGTGGCCGTGAATTCAGCGCTAACCAATCCTAGGGGCAGAGGCCTTTCTTTTGGCACCCTAGCTGTCTCGTACTAGCATTGGGGCTACTGGATTTCGCTATGTCAACAACAATCCGGTAACCCAGAAGTGGCTGGTACCGTCGCCTAGCATCCGTTCTGTTAGCGAGGCTCGTACTTCCATTGATTGAATATGTGAATGAGGAGGGTGAGTGCGTTGGTGTTGGGATCTACTCATCTGAAACTGCAATATGGATATATAAGGAATCTGAATGGGGCCAGGGTATTGTTCTATGTTCAAAATCAAGAAGTGCGTTTCTTAATGGTCGTCTGCATATTTTGGGGTACTCTTTAATAGTTACTGTGGATATGGAGGAAAAGACATGAAGAAAAATTCGTAAGCCTCGTTGCGCTCTATCTTCCATCCATCATGCTCAGGATCACTTGTGTGTATGTACTGTTGGTAGTCGCAATATGTCCTAGCTTTCAATCTGTATAGTTACTATAATTGTATTGCCAACAATCATGCACAGTGGCAACGCCGACGGTAATGAACAAGACATTACCACGGAACAAACGCAACAGTGGTGGTGGCGCTGCCCTCATTACCGCCGGATGGAACCATGGTCGTCGGCGCTGGTACCCATATCACTGATGGATGGCGGGCTGGCCCGGCATAGATGTTTCCATCATCACCGTCGGATGGTACGCTGGCCCGGCGTCGATGTTTCCATCATCACAGCCGGATGGTACAACGGCCCAGCGTCGATGTTTCCGGGCCGGCATTGATGATTCTATCATCACCGCCGGATAGTACGCCGGTGTTGGCGGTCCTTAAGTCCAATTTCTAACCGTCAACGTTTATATAAAATATGCTCAAATGAACACTAAACTTAGAATTAGGGCTTATAACTAATCAATTTCACAAGTTTTGGTGATTATTCATTTACCGGAGGACATATCGGGATTACATAGAAAATGACCCTAAAGTGTACAAGAAACACATCAAAACATACACTTGACATGAGCCCAAAAGGGAGAAGGCTCACAATCAGACAAATCAAGGGCCCAGACAAGTGGAGAACGAGCTCAAAATCAAAACCAAACCAACTCAACTCCGCACGAAACCATCATGGATCAAGTCTACAAGATCATAGAAGTCCACCCACCAAAGATGGGCTTGATCCAGCCCAGCCCTGGTGCGACCGCACCACCCCCATTGGCTCCGTTCGACCCGAGCTTTGGTCGGTTGACTCCTACCGTCTCTCCAACAACAGTTGCATGGGTATCATGGTGGAATTAATGCTCATGATGGCGGTTTGGTTATTTTAGGAAGGAATTAAGGGAATATGCCATGAGATTATTCCTGTTTTCCACCTATAAAAGGAGGTCACCCCCTCCTCATTGAACACAACACATCAAGGAGAAGAGCACCAGAATAAGAGCAATACCATTCCATGGGCTTAGGCCCTAGGTATCTCTAGAATAGTAGGGAGAGATGTGAGGGAGAGTTCGCGGAAGTACCGGAACCATCGGACTTCCTCCACCTTGTACCTCAATGGATACATGTACCTCAACGGGGTTTTCCGTTAAGTGAGTATTCGTGATTCTATTGATGTAAAAGTCTTTTGATTAGATAAGCTATGTTCTTTTATTTGCTTGCGAGTTCGTCGTCCGTCCCTATGGCGAATGCTCTAGTAGAGGGTCCTGATATAGACGGATAACCTTGATTGACACTAGAGTAGTAGTCGATAGCGTGACGTGGTGTCTAGGCTATAGGCTACCTTCATTTGCCTTGTACTCCACGGTTAAGGGGTAGGCAACAGGTGATGACAGCCCTGTCCGTCCTTCATAATCCCTCACATCCGGGTATGGCGTAGAGCCGTATGCCGGCATCGCCTGACAGACCTGGTGCAATCCGGTACCCGAAGTAAGCAAGTAAAAGTAGAGTTTATCTATTCATATATCCTAAAGTCATAGGAATCCATCTGTACCCTTATAAGCTATCCTTGTGTTGTCCTTGGATGAATTCGTTAGAAGAAATGCCTTCGTTCTCTGTGAAAAATATGATACTCTGAATACTTCCTGGTAAAAGCTACAACGGTAATTCCGTGCGTTTGAGGATTAATTCTGTAATCGTTAAGAAATACCAAAAGGCTTTCTGGCACCGTTGCCGGAGATCGGTTGCTGTATTTTCTTCGAATCTAGTTCGGCCTGGTATCTATATCTTTTATATAAAAACAAAATATTTTCTTTTAGCTTTTTCATCATGAAGCCAACCTCAATTCAAAATCTTTCGCTTCAAAGGGAGAATTTTCTGAGTCATCATGTCAGAGATATGAGCCAGGGATGCCTGCACCGCTCGTATATATGACCATCGCCAAGCTATCGGCCCAGCAACCATCAAGATGGAGGCTCACGAGGGCCGGCCCATCGATCGACATGGAGATCAATGCAAACCAAAGCGGACGTATCTGGATGATAGGTAGGATCTTTCTGTTGCACATATCGTGTAACAAATTACAAAATCAAACTGATAGCCTGATCGTCCTCATTGTAACCCTATCTCTCCTGTCTATATAAAGAATGGTAGAGACCTCTGGCTCGGGAACCTTCCACCTATTTCAATCTACACGTAGCTAGGAGTAACGATCCCTGTAATTGAGCATACGAATACAAGAGCAGCCGCATCACTGGAGTAGGGATTAGCGCACATCGCGCCCCGAACCAGTATAAATCTCTGTGTCTCGTGTGCTACCATCTGATTCCGTCTATACGATCACATTGCTGGATATTACCGGAGCAAAACAATCCGACAGTTAGCACGTCAGATAGAGACCTTTTACCTACAAATCTAATATATTTCAGATGAGATTTCTTCATCAACTACGTTCGCAAGAACTCGATGTGCGGCTGCGTCCATTGGGAACCAGCGACGGTACCCAGTCCCCCGAGGCAGTCGATCTCGTCTCCCTGGCGATGCACACGCGTCCTTGCCTGAGGCAGAGTCTGACATTAAGCGGCGGCGGGTAATCTGAAGCGACGGATCGTGAGGGCTTGCATGCACTGATCGAAGACAAAAGGCCCATCATATGTCCAGCCGCAGGCCAAGCCGTCATCTTTATTTCAATAAATATTCTATGATCTTCATATATTATTAGAAATAATCCTGCAACTTGGCGTTGGTTTTACGCCGCACGACGACGGTACTCATCGATCGGCAACCAGCTGCCGCTGTTGTCATCGTCTGTGATGGTGCTGATCATCAGCACGCCGCGGCCTTCCGTCCTGCAACACGATCTACAAGGGACGTGCTTGCATGCGCATGTGCATCGAGCAAGTACGGGATGACTTTGCTTGTTTGTTCTTGATTCGACGATACTTCCAACAAGCTAAGTTTTTTATCCCAATTAAATATTCTATATATAGAATATGCATCTTCATGAATATTTTATATGGGATATATGTCTCCAAATATCTCTGCATATATCTACATGATTATAGGCAGGGACAGCGCGGCGGCTATTGGCGCTGCTCACATCGGCGACTCAACCCCATCGCCGTCCAACTGCGGCTCGGACGTCGGCCTGTCTAGTCTACACATCCAGATTCTGCACAAGAAACATCAGACAGCTAAGTCATGTTTCCTGTTCGATTAATATTCTTATATATATTTGCATATCTTCGGATATCTCTGCTCGTCTTCGTGGCTAAGAACAGAAGTTGCGGCCTTCATCATCGTTCACGACGACACTACGGGCGTGTTTATTTGCCTGGACGTGTTCAGCCTGCATGGACTAGCAAAGTCAGGGTAGGCAAGGGCAGGCCCAGCGACTACAACACCCCCTTGTTTGGTTGTTTTTTCTCAACTGGGTCTGGTCCAAGCCAGATTGTGTTTGTTTGCCTGGACGGCTTGCCAATGATCCCAATTACCTCCCAACCGCCGGTCTGGGAAGGTGTTTGTTTGATCTTGGACAGGCCAACAAACAAGCACATGATAGCACAAATGAAGCCATACAACAGTCTATGCAATAGCAATTATTTGGACCAGTTTAACTCATATTACAACATAATAAAACATAGTTTAATCTAACTAAATAAACTGATAACCACTAACAGCTTTTGCAATTGTTCAGCTTCATCCACATGACAAAAACCAAAGCATACAGGAAGATAATGACAACATTTTTGTAGCTCATAGCAAACTTGGTGCTGCAGATTCCACCATAGAAATATAGGTAGAAGGTTTGTTAGAAGGAATTGAGTTGACTGTTGAGTTGAAATCAGCAATGGCTTGCTCTTAGGACTTGACTTCTTATGCATAGCCCCTCGATACCCCAGCACTTGCTCACTGCACTGAGCCCAGCTAGGGTACACACCAGGTTTGTACCCTTTGAAAACAACATACCAGGCACACATTTCTCTGCATAGAACAAGCACCAAAGCCTCAGTCCAAAAAGTTTCAGGTGCCACCCATCAGTTTGTTCAATGAGGCTGTCTACACCAGTTGAAGTGGTAGACAAACTCAAGAAACAAACAGTTGGATTACACATGGCAAGGGTATAGTAGACATCACAGGCATGTTATAGTTGAAATGCCTCAGCTTTCCATGTACTACATCATAGGCAAAATAAAAAAATGTGGCCTCAGACTAGATGATCATGTGTAATAGCTTCTCAATAATGTCATGGGTAGCACATTGTTAGAAGAACCAAACATAGTAGGACGTGTTTGTTTGCCTGAACAGACCAAAAATAGGCAGGAGAAAACTAAGAACAAGTAAGCCATGGAACCATGGAACATGTCCATCCCAGCCATCAGCTACTACCACAGTTGCTTGGGAATAGACGTGTCCCATGGTTTGATGATAGCCCTGTGAAAACAGAATGAAACCAAGATCACAGTAGCCATGGAAGCATGAGACATCCAACCTGAGCCATCAGCCTAGCATGCAAAAGCTGTTGCTTGGATATGGATGTCTCTCATGTTTTGATGATAACCATGAGAAACACATACAACTGAGCAAGCAGTGCCACCTCTATTATAAATTGTTGCGTCAACATCGGCCAATATCACCATCTCACTGTCCAAGTAAACTAAATCATGAAACCAGTAGAGAACATGAATAGAAAACCAAACAAAATAGAATGGAGCCAAATAGAACCAGAAGAAGCAAAGCAAAAGCCATAAACACAACAGCAGATAGATGGGGCCAAATATACATAGTTCAAAGCATGGCCAAATCAAGTTATGTTACAGACCATGTGGCATTTAGCCACCAAATGTTTGCACCCTAATTAGGTGCCAAGAGTTACCTACCTCATTGTTCATTACATGCCATCTATAGTTACCCACCTCCTCGATCATACATCAGCCACAAACCAAAAGAATGTGTGTCAGCCCCTTCAGTGGTGCACAGGGTCACACCCCAACCAAAAGTATGCAAAAGTCAGTCAAGGAGAGTGATGGAGGGTGGAGGAACTAGATATAATCCTCAACTGCTTCCCTCCAGACCAGGGCAAGGAAGGCCCTAGGGGAACTACATGTAGTAGTTCTTGGCAAGGAAAGTCCTAAGCCAAAGGACCCTGTGCCTGTCAACCATGTTGACATAGGCAGTGCCCTGGGCCTTGTGGTCCAGCAGGTGGGAGAAAGCAACAATCAGAGCCTCCTTAGTGAAGCTAGGCATATCCATCACAGCATGGTATAGATCTACATCTACATGAGCTGGGCCAGTCTCCCTAAGTGCATTGGCTACATGGTTGAATGCATCAGTCATGTTGGTCATGATGAGGACCTCTTCCTCACTAAAGCAGGACCTCTTTCTCTTCCTTCCACCATCAGAGGTCAGTAGCTCTATTGCTTTGCTGCCTTCACCCCTCTCTGTCTTCTCCTCAGCCCCCAAGTTACCCACTGGCCGTTCCATTTTTCCCAGCCCACTGTTAGCATAGTTGGAGTTGACACCTAAAGCCTCATTTGACCCAAGAGAGTACCTACCAGTGGCCATGCCACTACCAAAGATGGTTTGCATCTCATCATAGAACCTCAACGGGGTGTTGAGAAGGTCAACATCTTTGGGATGGTCCTACATTTATTATTTCCTAGGTTTGTTAGATAATACAGTCAATACAATACACAACTAAGGCAGGCAGTTCCATAAATGTTCTCATGTCATGAAATGCATAGCTAAATCCTAAAAGTTCCGCTTGTTCCCCACATTGCATCAGAGATGCCATCCCTAAGTGATGACATGCTAGGCATCTCTTGTGACTGCAATTCATTGACATGTGCCCCAGAAGTAAAAGAAGCAGGGTTTGGTGCCCACTCTGCCTCAGTTGGGATGACAACATCATGCCCAAATCCCAGAATCCAATTGTTCATAATACAGCAGGCCTGGACCAACTTTACTTGAGTCTTGTAAGGATGAAATGGCTTGTTATCTAAGATTCAAAAGCGATTCTTCAAAGCCCAAAAGCCCCCTCAATGCTCACTTTAAGAGAGTCGTGTCTCAGGTTGTATAGCTCTTTGGCATTGGTAGGATAATGCCTAGGACCATACTCAGATAGATGGTACCTGACACCCTTGTAAGGAGGCAGGAAACCAGTTCTACAGGCATACCTAGCATCCAGAAGATAGAATTTCCCTACAAGGCAGTGTTGTATTGTTTTACAATAGTGTTTAAAAATAGTTTAAGGAATAGTAACCAGCTATGGTGGACAATGTTACCTTCAGGAACACTCAGACCCCCATCTCTCTCTAAAGCATCAAATAGAACAAGTGCATCATGAGCAGAACCTTCCCACCCAGCCAATACATATGTGAACTTGAGATCAAAATCAACAGCTGCCATCACATTCTGTGTGCAGCTTTGTTTCCTACCCCTGAATGACCCCTGCATGCGCTTGGACACCCTTGCCAACACATGGGTGCCATCAATTGCCCCTATATAGTTCTATGAGTAATGAAGAAACATAAGTAATCTTATGTGAACAACACGCTACAAATAGAATAATGAACCAAGGCATCCAATAAATACCTTGAAAAAAGGGTTCCACCTATGACTTCCTAGGATCTTAGGATGTGTTGCACTAGAAGGTGGTTTGATCAGGTCAGCCTTCAGTTCCCTAACAGCAAAAAGAACCTGGTGAAAGTGTCTGCTAACTGTCTCTATAGATCTCCTAAAGCTCTGGTGCACAACTCTAAACCTTTGATTATGCCCAACCACATGAAGGAACATGGAAACTTGTTCCTCCATAGAAGCATTATTGGAGTTCAGAACCAAGCCCCTCTACCTAAACAAATTGCAGAGTGAAAAAATTGTGCTCTGCTCATCCTAAGCATGGCTATGAACTCAGCATCAATTGAGTTGTAAATGAGAGAAAGGTTATTCTCCCTGTGTTCATCTGCTTCTAACCTAGGGCCATAACAAATGGGCTCATCATCCTCTCTACACCTTTTCAGTTTGGATGAAACTAGGGTAACCATGACAACTACCATGGCATCAGCTTGTTTAGCCATGGCAAATCTTTCCTGCTCGAAGTCCATCAACATGCAAGAATGACAATTTTATGTCAGTTTTAGGCATGCCTTGCTGGCCTCTAAATGGTAACATTTCAGACATACAATACAAGTGGTGGACTAGGTTTCATCACCTCGGCTACATGTGCAAAGCACAACCACCCATAGGTTCCACCTCAACGTCATAGACCGTGAAAAACCCACAAAATCCGTGCTAAAGTAAATCCCAATCTCAAATCATGTTCAACAGTTAACCGTAGCACAAATGTGTCATTGCAATCAGGCAAGAACATGAAGACATCATCGATTAGGACCAAGAACGTAATAAACAGATCTGAACCCAGCCATCAACAGATCAAAGCATCACATCGCTATGAGCACGCAGACCGTCGAAATTGGGTCCCGTGTAGCCACATCCATCGCTATGAGCGCGTACACTGTCGAAATCGGGTCTCGCGTAGACAAATCCATCGCTATGAGCATGCAGACCACTGAAATCGGGTCCCATGAGGCCAAACATTTCAAGATTTCACCTTGCTTTGAGGATGGAGAGGAGGAAGAAGCCAGCGGCTTAGGGAGGAGGAAGCAGATCTGGAGAGGGAGTAGGCGTCGGCTTGGGGAAGACGGAGCAGCGACACCAACAGGCCCACGTCCAGGCAAACAAACACGGCAACCAGAACCGCCGGTCGTCCTGAGGAAGAAGACGACGACAACAGGGACCCACACCCATGCACCAACAAGATGGAGGAGGAGCAGCCGACGTGAGCCACGCTAGGCCCGCCTATGACCCCACTGCCACCACACACCATCGGAGGAGGAAGAAGGATGCAAGCGAACCGAGGAGAGTAGAGAGCGAGAGGGATTGGAGAGCGGAGTGGAGGAGGGGGACTGAGGAGAGCGATGCCTTGGCTTATAAGGAGGGCAAAACCCTAGCGGCGCAGAAGGGGGGAAATATCTGCCGTCGCGCATGAGATGGAGGGAGCAGCCCGCCAACCACCAAAATGAGCCTGTGAGTGGCCGATTTCGGCCGCGCCCATGAGAAACGGAGGGGAGGGGTGTTCTCTAGGAGCTAGGCTCATAGCTGCCTTAAGCAGCATGTAGCCTAGGCCCAGACGCCCTCTAGACAAACAAACACGGTGTGGTGCACCGCATGGGTCATGCCCTGGCCCCCGTCTAGGCAAACAAACACGCCCTACATGTGCCGAGTCTCGATTGGTGGACGCACTCAAGTCAAATGAGAAGTACACATGTATGCATCTACGCCTGCACACACGTATGGTGTCCATGGACCAATCAACAACGCCATGCAAGACCATGCACGAATGGGTGTATGCACTTGCGTATGCACCACACATGCATTGACGGATGCTTTTATGATCAGACTACAACATCATCAATTTAGCCAAGCTAAGTCATGCTTTTTATTTCGATTAAATATTCTATAGAATATATATATCTCTTCGATATGCCTGTGTCTACATGACTATTATCGACAGGAACCCGACAGTGGCCCTCGTCGATATCCCTTGTCGATGAGTTGTCATCATCATGCTCCAGCTCTTGATGTCGCCCCGCGGCGGCCCTTGTCATCAGTACGTTGCGTCTAGCATCATCGACTTGTCATCCAAATCATCGAGCTGGATGCACGATGACAACATCACCGGTGATTCAGGAGCACCGTCGACGGACTACTTTAGCCTAGTCATGTCGTCTGCAACAACTTCATCCACAATTACCACTCGAGCACATCGTCGATAGTCTTCCTCGAGTCGATCTCTCTCGACCTTTTGCCATCCCTCAACGCGACGCTCGTGGTAGCACTCGACATCAAAGTCATCACCGGCGACAACAATAACATCAACGTCCCATTGGTTTAGCTAAGTCACTTCCATAATTGTTTTTATTATGTTATTTTTTGCTCTTACTTCCTACCAAGTTGACATCCAACTTAGCAGAAAGTCGGGGCTACTACACATAATAATCACACTCTAGGGCATATTTGCTTTCTTCTCCATGATTTAAGTACCTGCATGATACGTTCTATGTGTAAAGCTTTGTCACGACAATGAGTTACGCCGCAACCCAACGCTATACGGATCACGCCATCTCATGGCTAAGATCCTATGCATGGGGGCTACAGTCTAGTTATCAAAGTGCATAACACGCCGAGCAATTCATAAAGGGAAAATAACATCAAGGAAAAAAAGGAAACAACCTTAAAAACTGCTTTAAGTACTTTTATGACACATGTTCTATGTAATGTGCTTTGTTGGCAGCAAAGGCCTACGCCGCAAACCCAATGCTACATGCGCCGCTGTTGACGGTCACTAACACCAATTATAAACCATCAACAGAACCTGCATATATACTTAATTCCATCACCAAACATATGTATAGGGGTTTAAACTAATGAATTCCATGAGTTTTGGTGAATCTATGAATGCAGGAGGGTTTATCCAGAAAACCATGAAGGGGGACTTAATTGTCAGATTACATCATGATTATCCGTGACGTAAACTACTTGGGAAGGATGTAGAACACACCAGAAGGCAACCCCACCGAAGTAGGCCTCGAGAGGCTAACATGTGGGGTCGGCCGGCCCCACCTACAGGCCAGCCGACCTATGGGTCCCGCTGGCCAGTCTCTGCTTTGACGTCGGTTCTTCCACTGCCATTGAGGATCAATCTATGCCATTGCTCAATGTCGGTTCAAATAGAGGGACGAGATAGAGCCATGCTATGCATTTATGGGCTCAATTCAGAATTTGGCCCATAAAGGCCCATGTGCATTTTAATGAGATATGGTGTAAAATTTAGTACCAGTGAGGCTACTAAGAGGGGGAGGGTGCCAGGCGCCCCTCATAAATAGCAGCCCGGACCCCCTCCCTGCAGCCATCCCTAAAACCCTAATTCATATCCTACGGATCAGAGCCAGCTATCAAGAGAAGATTAGTCTCCATAGGATCTAGTCTTATAAATAGAAATAGTGAGATGGAGAGTGAGGGATGAGTTTGGAGAAGGTGCCGGCCTGTCGGTGCTCTCTCTACGGCTTGTACCTTGGTGGATCCAAGTTCTATTTGAGCTTGCCTGTGAGATTTCTCTGGTAATCAACTTGTGATTCAAGTAAGCATCTTGTTTATATTATTCATCAGGTTCACGACTCTTTTGGGTGATTTCTCCTGTTCTAGAGGGAGTAAAGTATTAATCTTAAGTGTAAGTGTGGTGCTTAGACTTAGGTTAATCGTGGATGCTATTGGTATATTTAACGCACACAAATAAATCCGCAAGCGCATGGATACCACTATAGCTTTCACCCGGAGGTATTCCAAGTATCGTATCCACAGAGAAACGTGTGTGACTAACTACGGTCTAACTTAACTAAGGGTAGCAACATGGTTAGAATAAATAGGAGCATAGAGGGGATAACTAAAGTTCTCTAGTTCAGACTTAGGTAAGCTTATGTCTTCTACTATTCAACTAGGGACATTAC